AGTGTGGGTTTTTGAAGTATTAGAGACAGCTCAATGTTCCATATAAGGTTTTTTTTCTTGAACAGGTGATACATAAACAATGTAAAAGGTTCAAAAGGTACAGGTGTGTTTACTGTAGAACCCAAATATCCTTCCTGTGGTCTTTAAAGTTATTCAACTCTCCAGGAACAACTGAAGTTTAGTAGCTTCTTATGTATTTTTCCAGATAGAACCTAGGCATCTACAAGCAAATATTTGCACATGTTTTCTGCTTCGTTTCTCTTTATTTTTATACAAGTGAGGACCTCTATACAAAACAGTGGCATCTTGGTTTTCTCACTTCATAATAAGCCTTTGAGATAATACCAATTAGGACATGTTATGCTGCTACTGAAATATTTTTCAGCTGGAAAATATTCCATTGTGAGGGTGTACCATAATTTATTTAGGCAGTTGCCGGCTGCTGAACACTTAGGTTGTTTCTGATCATTAGCTATTACAAACAATACTGGAGTGTAGATCCTGCCCTCGTCATCACTTTGCAACTGTACAAATACATAATTGGATAAATTCAACATGCTGGGTCAAAGGGTGTATTAGTCTGCTGAGACTGCTGTAACAGAGTACAACAAACGGGGTGGTTGAGCAACAGAAATGAATTCTCTCAGGGTTCTGGAGGCTGGAAGTCTGAGATCAAGGTGTGGGAAGGGTTGGGTCCTTTGGAGAGCCATGAGGGAGAATCTATTCCAGGTTTCTCCCAGAGCTTCTTGTGGTTTGCTGGCAATTTTTAGTGTTCTTTGGCTTGTAGATGCATCACCCAGTCTCTGCCTTGATTTTCACATGACATTCTCCCTGTATGTGTGTGTCTGTGTCCAAATTTTCCCTTTTTATAAGGATGCAGGTCATGTTGGATTCAAGGCCCACCCTACTCTAATGTGATCTCATCTTAATAATTACTTGCAATGACCCTACTTTCAAGTCAAGTCACATGCTGAGGTACTGAGAATTAAGACTTCAACTTTGAATTTTTGGCTGACACAGTTCAACCCACAGCAAAAGGTATATGAGCATTTACTTTTTAGAAAAATATTGCTAAATTGTTCTTCATAGAAACTGCACCATTCCCTTCCCACCAGCAGTGATGGAAACGGCCTGGGTCACCATATCCTTGTCAGCGCAATGAGTCACCAGACCTTTTGATCTTTGCCAGTCTGGAAGATAAAAAGTGGTATCTCATTGAAGTCAAACTTCTATTTCACTTATTATAACTGAGGATAAGAGGTGTTTTTTTTTTTTTTTTNTTGTATTTTTTTTTGTGAATAATTGTTTATATTCTTTGACTCATTGTCTTTTGAATTATTGGTCTTTTATCCTTAACTGATTTGTAGGAACTCTTTAAAGATAAGGGAAATTAACTCTTTGTGATACATGTCAAATATTTTCTTTTCCAATTAGTCAGTTGTTATTTGACTTTGTATTGCATTTCTTTTTTGTTTACCCAGAAAAAATTTTCAACTTTATGTAGATAAACAGATCATTTTCTTTTATGGTCTGGGGTTTTCTGTGATGCTTAAGAGGCTTCTCCACTCTTGAGATTGTGACAAAAATTCTACTTTTTTCCTAACATTTATTATTTCATTTTTTAATGTATAGTTTTAAAAAATCTATTGGAATTAATTTTGGCATAGGTGTAGGTAGGGACCCAATTTAATTATCCTGGTGGATACTTGGTGGTTCCAACAGAATTCATCGATGTGTGAGAACTGTGGTCTGATGTAAGCAGTGTGTAGATATGTGGACTTCACAGAAATATTTTCATTAAAAATTTTTCCCTATTAACTTGTATTTCAACATCAATTTTCTTTTTTAGAGTTCTTGTCTTTAACCAATGATCCATTGTGGGTGTATACTATAAGTTTGTTATTATAATAAGAAAAATTTTAAACTGTGCCATAGTCAAAGTTACCTTAGGGGCTGGCAGTGTTCAGCCACGTGGGAGAAAGAGTAACTGTGAACCTCCATTTGATAAGCTCTCAGCGTCTCTCAGTTTCTCTTTTAAAAATTAATAAGTAAATAAGTATTTATTAATTGATTAAATATAGAAATAGAAACAGATGATAGTACTGCACTTAAAGACATGAGTGCAGTCCTGGAGGAAAGGTCCTGGAGCCCTTGGGGTTCATATGGGGGGTTGAGTTTGAATACTACCCTCACCAACTCGTGGCCCTATCTCCGAGCTCACTTGCTTGACCTCTCAGTGCCATTTTCTTCATCTATGAAAGGAGGATAATAAGAGGGGAAGGTTTTGTAGGGCCTGAAACTTCTGCAATTTGGGGGTCCCTCTTAAAATTACAAATGTAAAGTTTAGCACATCCAGTGCAGGTTCTGGGCAGGGTCTTTCACTTGTGTATTAAACTTTATTAGCTTCCCCATAGATGGACCTCTTCCTAGGATGTTGGGAGTATGGAGTAAGGTGATGTGTCTAAATCATCTGCGCCTAGTGAGGGGTGTGGTGGGTCTGACTCCCAGACTGCAAACTTAGGTGTGTACGACACATCACGTCCTTTATGTGCCAAAACCTACCTGAATTTCTGACACTAAGTCTCCAGTTCCACAGAGCTGGCAAACACCTTCCCTTACGTCATTCTTGAAATTTGTAATACACCTTGCTCTGAAACAGAATCAAGGCCTGGGCTGAGGGGGACGACCACTATTTGTCTTTGATCATCTGTACACACACACACACACACGCAGACACACCCACTCACACTCATGTGCACGTCACCACAGAGGCATCTGGCATCCCTTTCTGAAGTCCCCTTAAGCCTCCAGCTCTCCACTGCTTGGGATCCATGCCTGGGACTTGGGGCTTTTTGAGGGGCAAACTGTGTAGCAGTTTGTAAGAAGGTGGCTATTGGTGGCACTATGGCTCTATTCTAGGCTGTATCAAAGATCCTTCTCCTGGCCGGGGGAGAGGGGGAGGGGGGCAAGGAGCTATTGTGGCTAAAAGCATCAGATTGCATGCCAGACAGAGCTGGGTTTGAATTCTGTAAAGCCTTGTTTTCCTCATCTGCATAATGAAGATAATATCTCCCTCTGAGAATGGGTGTGAGGAATTGAATGTCAGGATGTTAGCACTGTGTCTGACACTAGTGCATGGGCTCTATTAAGAGCTCAGCACTTCACTTTTGTACATTATGAGGTGCAAAACTAAGGTCCCAGAGACACTGGTTGGCTGGGTGACAACAGCTGGGGTAAAGGCATGCATTTTGAGTTTGCAGATGACCTAAAACTAGATGCAATGGCTAATATTTTAAATGACCAAATCAGGGTTCAAAGACACTTAAAGCAGACAAAATGGTAGACTAAATAACTCCCTGAAGTAAACTGGAATAGGGTCGGATGTAAAATAAAAGGAGTTTCATGGAAAAAGCTTTGGCTGAAGATTCAATATAATCCATGGTAAGATGGCTGCCCCGAACTGATATTATCTAGCCTACATCTACAGAGGTATAGAGCTGAGGATGAGGGAGGTGAGAGCAGGAGGTGTGTGTTCAGTTCTGGCTGCCATACTTTTGCAGGGACAAGGAGAGACCAGAGTCCAATTTGTAGAGGGCAAAAGATAGTAAAGAACTGGAGATATTTCCCTTGGAGAAGAGAATAAAGTGGGGCAGAGGCTGACATAGTAGTATAACCCTGTCTGGCTCCAGGGGCAGAGCTGGACCATAGGGGTACCAAGGAGTTGAGAACCTACTCTGTGCCAGTCAGGACAGCCCCACAGTGAAAAGGATTGTATTCAGAGGTAGTGGGCACTCATCACCAGTAGTAGGCCAGCAGAGAGAGGTAGGGATTCCTGCTTTGAGCTCTCAGATAGTTTCAACAAAAATACTAGACCCTACTGAAAGAAATACTTGTTGCCTGTATACACACATTATCATAGACTGCACATATGTAATCCACATTTCTATTTTAAGATATACTTAAAAAGGTGAATATTGCTGAAATTGGGACTGTCTTACAATCATCGTGTACATTTAATGCACCCTTCTTTCCTGAAAAGTTATTATTCAAGAATTTTTGAATTGCGAATTATACAATTGGGGAAGTTTTTTATAATTTGTTTCATCTTAACACTTGTCTCATTAGAATGCATGTCTCAAATTAAAGGCAATCTAGATAAATAACATGTTTTTATTTTATTAAGAAAATTTTTTTTGGTATCATTAATATACAATTATATGAGCAACATTGTGGTTACTAAATTCCCCCCATTATCAAGTCCCCACCACACACCCCATTACAGTCACTGTCCATCAGCATAGTAAGATGCTATAGAGTCACTACTTGTCTTCTCTGTGTTGTACTGCCTTCCTCGTGCCCCACCCCCTACATTATGTGTGCTAATTGTAATGCCCCTTATTCCCCTTCTCCCTCCCTCCCTGCCCACCGTCCCCAGTCCCTTTCCCTTTGGTAACTGTTAGTCAATTCTTGGGTTCTGTGAGTCTGCTGCTGTTTTGTTCCTTCAGTTTTTTCTTTGTTATTATACCCCACAGATGAATGAAATCATTTGATACTTGTCTTTCTCTGCCTGGCTTATTTCACTGAGCATAATACCCTCTAGCTCCATCCATGCTGTTGCAAATGGTAGGATTTGTTTTCTTCTTATGGCTGAATAACATTCCATTGTGTATATGTACCACATCTTCATTATCCATTCATCTACTGATGGACACTTAGTTTGCTTCCATTTCTTGGCTATTGTAAATAGTGCTGTAATAAACATAGGGGTGCATATGTCTTTTTGAACCTGGGCTCCTGCATTCTTAGGGTAAATTCCTAGGAGTAGAATTCCTGGGTCAAATGGTATTTCTATTTTGAGTTTTTTGAGGAACCTCCGTACTGCTTCCCACAATGGTTGAACTAATTTATATTCCCACCAGCAGTGTAGGAGGGTTCCCTTTTCTTTACATCCTTGCCAACATTTGTTGTTGTCTTTTGAATGGTGGTCGTCCTAACTGGTATGAGGTGACATCTCATTGTGGTTTTAATTTGCATTTCTCTGATGATTAGTGATGTGAACATATGTTTTTTAAAATCCAAGATTCTTTTCTTAGTAAAGCCATACTCAATCTATTGAATCCATCAGCCTCTGACATTCCACCTCATTGTTCCTTCCTGACATCTGAAATGGAAAGGAGACAGGCTATTAAACCGGTTTTAACAAATTCAGAGCAGCCAGGTTCTTGGCTTGGGGAAAAAACATTCCACTTATCAAGAGATGTTACTCCTTCAAAGGATGAAAACCTATTTCATGAAGAGAATCTGGGGGGAGCTTTTTGTTCTGCGGGGACAACATCTGGATTTTAATATGTCCATCTTCAAAAGGAGATTTCTCATAATGGACCAAACTCGAAACACTCAGAGCACAAGGACCAGGGAGTTTTCAAAAGGAGACACTTCCCGAGAAGCCCGAGGGCCCTTATGTCCCCGCAGCCCGCGCGGAGGTCGGTGAGGTCTCCCGCGCCTTTAGCTTCTAAGTTTCATGCTGAAAGTCACAGCCACCGTCTTCCGCCTCCCCACCCCACTCCGGGAATTTGGGACCTGAATTCATTTGAAAACATTTGTGGTTTCAGGAGGCTCTTTATGATACAGCTGCCAAGGAGATCTCGCCATGAAAGACCAGTTCGGAGATGAGGAGCAAGGCAGCTAGGCCCAGGCCGTGGGCTTGTAAAGGGTACGCGAGCCCGGTGCCCCGCCCACCGTGCCGGCGGGCATGGGCCTCGAGGCGGATGCCCCCGGACCCGGGTTCGAATCCCCTGGCCTGGCGGTACAGACCATGGGGAGTTGTGTAACGTCCTGGCCCCGAGACGCCCTTTCCAGGAGCCCAGGCATGGAACGAAGTCCTTAGAAGCTCTGACATCAGAGGTGACGCGTCTTCGCAGGCAATGACTAGGCAGAACGCGATGCCACTCCCTTTCCCGTGTCCGGGCTGGCGCGGGGCGTGTCGCCTCCGACCACGGGGTCCTGGCGCCTCCGACAGCTCTCCCGAGTGCCCGGCGCCCCCGCGCTTCCCGGCCCACCAGACCCTCGCTCCTCGGCGGCACGGCCCCGTCGCAGATGACGCTCCCGTGGGCTGGCCTGTGGCTCCCCCTTGTGGTGACCGCCGCGAGGCCTGGTCACCGGGAGGCCTTGGCACAGCTCTCCACACGGGAAGTCCTTTCTGGGTCCGACCTCGACCCCTCCTGGGGCTGCGGGAAGCACGACGGGGCAGCTGAGGGCAGCCGCCTCTCCCCTCCACTTTAGAAAATCGCGTCACACGGAGGCCAAGCAGTCTTTTTCTAGGCTGGCTGCACTGTCTTGAGGCCAAATGGAAGGGACGACCTTGAGTGGGCCTGTGGAGGATTTCTATGCCAAAGGGCCTTTAGGGAGTAAGACTGAGGACTGTCTTGAGGGCAGGGTGCATGAGGAGGGCTTCCACCTAGGCGCTGGAAGGGTAGAGGGACCCCCAAAGGAAGGATGTAGGTTAGGGCTTTGGAGGAAAAATTGAGGGGCAGGGGCCTCTGCCTGAGGGAGGGTTTTGGTGCGACCCCCGACTCACCGACCTGGTGGGCTTCTTCCTCCACCTCCTCCCGGGACAGATTTCATCGGTGTTTCAGCGGCGTTGGTGAAGGGCCTTCAGTCAGCCATTAATCTTAAGAGCAGAGAAAGCAAGAGGGATTCGAGTTAAACACCGGGCAGAACTTCCCAACCATGAGGGATTTGGGACCTCAGAAAGGGGATCAGAGGCGGCATTCTCCCATCCAGGAGAGACCCCAGTTGAAGCAGGGTCTGGACAAAGGGTGAGCTGGCCCCTGGCTCTGCCCTGACGGGCTGGTGACCAGGGTGCAGTCCTTGGGGCCCCAGGGTGGCAAGGCTTCTGTGAAGTTCCTGGTGGGATGGCCCTGGGCAGGTGGTGATGGACAGAGGGAGAAATCGAGGTCACTGCCGCCCCCACCCTGCCCGCTCGGCAACCTCATTTTCCTTAACTGCTCATCTTGCCTCCTCTCTGGACAGTTCTGATCCCTCATGAGAGATCATGCTACCCCCGTACATGCTCCTATCAAACACGTTTCACCGTAGGCCCCATGTCCAGCTCTGAGCTCCATCCCAGCTTTCTCCCCAGCACCTAGCATGCTGCCTGGCACAGCAGCGCTGCTCTGCGAATATTTGGTAATTTCAGTTGACTTGGGATGTTGCCCCCAGTGTTCCTTGGATTTAGAAAGAATTTGGGCAGGCAGAGAAGGAGGCAGAGCCATGAGGCTTGACTGTGGGTGATCTGGGCAGCCCCTCCTCTCTCTGTACCCCATCCCCAGGCTATGACTCCCAGGCAGGGTTACCCCCTCCCTCCATTTAGACCCCCTACTCTGCCGTGTGTGTCTCCGTCTCAGGTCACTTCCAGGAACAGACCCTGGGAATTCTGCTTTGGTGGCTGGAGCAAATGTCACTGACCTCCTAATGGTTTGCATCAGACTGTGAGCAACTCTGCACAGTTTACAAGACACTTTACATCCATTTGCTGGTTTGATTTGATTTTTGCAACCATTTGTAAGACACAACAATTGTTAACCCCCTCCCCCACCCCTACCCCCACCCCTGCGTCAGCCCTGGTGGGAAAGAAGAGGAAGTTAGGATCAGAGGTTGTGTAAATTGCCCTCAGCACTGAGTTGAGGCCTGGAATCCCAACAGATTCCGATTCCAGCACCTTCCCGGAACCCTGGGCCTTTCCCCCCGGCCGGCCGCTCCCCACCCTGATATTTCTTTATCATGCTAACTGAGGGACTGAGCCTCCTTAGTCTAAACCAAATGTGAGGTTAGGGCTCAGGCTTAGGACTCTAGTCAGGCAGAAAACAGGTCGAGGGTCAGGACCCTTTCCCATCACCCTGCGGGCAAGCTCTGAGGTTCCCCTCATTAGGGTGGGGGCTTTGAAATAGGATGAGCATATTATTAGTCATCCAGATTAGAACACTTTTGAGAATGAAAGGGAGTGCCATTAATAATTACCCCACGGCAATAGCCAAAGTGAGGTGAGGTCACTTTATAATGGAACCACTTGCCCCTCCCACCTGTTCCACCTCTAGGCCTCAGACCCCCAGACCTGATGCAGAACAGAGGCTGTTCACTGTGCCCAGCCCTCCACAGAGCTTGTGTTATTGGACCTTTAGGACAACATGTGGTTGATCCAGTTCCCATTTTATTAATGGGAGACTGAAGTCTGGAAGATCCTTGCCCAAGAGCACACAGCTGGTAAGTGGCGGAGCTGGGACTTGAACTCAGGGAGGCTGGCTTTCATAGAAAGGATTATAATAAAATGTTAATGAATTGGTTTGGGCTACAAGAATTGTGCCATGGAATTGTGGTTCCCCAAGCCTCTCCTCAGCGCCCCCACCCAATCTCTCTTGGTTGTCTTTGGCTCAGGGACATCATTAAAAGGACCTTTGAGTGGTGCGGGCATGTGTAGATGAGGGAGGGAGGCAGGTGCATTCAGCAGAGGGAAATGTGTTAGGAGCACAGAGTGGAAGGGTAGCAGCGGGGATGGGAATAATAAAAGCTAACATTTATTAAGCACTTACAGTATAGCAGGCTCTGTTTTAAGTGTTCCAAGGTATTATCCACTTAATCCTCACAACAAACCTATAAAATGAGAAACGTCATTATTCCCGTTTCACAGCTGAGAAAACTGAGGCCACTTGCCCTCCATTACACTGCTGGTAAGCGGGAGAGCCAGGACCACCAGGTTAGCTTACCCATCATTCAGCTTGTCATTGAGGAAAAGGATGCTGCTGGTCCAGGGGTGGGGGTGGGGGTTCCTCTGCCTTGCTTTCTCTAGGACACCCAGGGAGCCAATTTTCAGTGGGGAGACAGTCCACAGTCCAGCCTACTGGGGGCACCCACCAAAGTGTCCTCCAACTCCCCCCTTCTGCTGTCTCCCAGCAGGAGCTCAGGCAGGCAGGGGTGGAGGCCTCTGCAGCATCTCATTTTCATTCATTTTCTTTAAATGCTTCTCTCTCTCTGTTTTAAATCTAATTTTTCAGCTTCTTTTTTATCTTCACTCAAGTCACTTTAATGAAACGAAAATGTGTCTGTTTCCCTCTGCTTGAGCTGCCCAGGGAATTTCAATATAAAACAAACAAGTTGGTTTTTAAAATTAAAATTTTATGGGTGGCATTTCCTCATTTAATGAGAGGCACAAAAGGCTGGAGTAAAACCAATTAACACGGGGTTGGGACTCGGTGTTCAGCAAAATTAAACAACAGTAGCGCGGTGTGCTGGGAGCTTTTAGTGCAGGTGCTGGAAGAGGTGCGCAGGCACCAAGGGTAGCGGCCGCCCACAGCACCCGTGCGCCCCTCCCGGGACGGTGCGGCCCTGTGTTCGTGCAGACCTCAGACCCCCACTCCCTGCCCTGGAACCTCCCTGTCCCCAGAACCTGTGCGAAGGTGCCTGTGTGCACGCCTCCCTGCACATACAGATGGGAGGTGGTTGTGGGAGATGAGCAGAGGGATGACTGCGTTGGATTTATGCGGTCCTGAACACCAGAGTCTGGAGAGGCATCCCTGAGAGTTAAGGCCTCTGCAAAGGCCAGAATTCACTCGCTAGTTATCTTCCGGGACAGGGTGAGTCCCATCGGGAAGGGGCAGGCAGGGTGGGGCGGGCTCCCAGCCAGTGCCGGGAGTGCGTCGCCAGGTGCTCCACAAATTCTCCATGACTGAGCACATGACTTCATCCTGGCGAACAATGTTAATGAAACCGAGGAGTGAATCACTTGCAGTGCTTATTACCCAGTGCAGGATTTTTTATCCTTTTTTGTTGTAGAAATGATGGTAATGTCACGGGGGAGAGCAGCAAGGGAAGGGTGAATAGCACTTGAGGAAAGGGGTTTGGCAGGACAAAGGCCAGACGTGGATGTGGCTGAATCTAGGGTGTATGCAGGAAGATGAATCTGGAGAGGTCGGAGGGAGCCCGGCAAATACCCGTGTAAATGCTGGGCCGTGGTGCCATAGCCCCCAGGAAAACAGGCCCCATAGGTCCGAGGAAGGGCTGGGCCACCTCTTGTTTCCTCCCGGTGCTTCCTCCCCCACTGACTCTTTGTGTCCCCAACTGGGGCAGCTTTCTCCACATTCTTTCTGCCCTTGGACTCCTGGGTCTATGGAGAGGACCACTCTGGTCACTAGCATCCCTAGAGCAGCAACAAGATGGGGGAGGCCAAGGACCCCAGCTGCTCTGATTCAGGGGATGGGACTGGAAGCCATGGCCGCCTCCAGGGTCCTCAGTCCTCCCCAGTCAGGCCCGCAGACCCACACATACGCTTCCATACAGAGTCCTGCAGGCCCCAGACAGACCTCCAGCAGGCACATGGACAGGGGGTGCCAGGTCCCCGCTCTCTTGTAAGGGTGTCTTTGAGGGAACACCTGAGATTGGAGGAAGGGTGCCTGATGGGGTCGGTGCCCTGATCCATACCTCTCGAGGGGTTCCTCCAAGGCCTGTCTGAGGAGCCAGGTGAGGGTCTCTTTGAGACCAGTTTGCGACCTGACAGAGATTCATTTTTAAGTCTCTTTGAGGCCTGTTTGAAGGCCTGAAGACTGTCTGGGTTGACCTGAGGGCCAGTAGCATGAAACCAATAAAAATGGCCTGAGGCCAAGGCTGACACCGATGCTTCCTCCTCCCCACAGCAAAGAGTACAAATCTGGCCAAGCTTCAAGTAGGTTCTTATGGCTAGGGGACTGGCAGAGTGGCTGGAGTCTCTCCTGTGGTGATGGATGAAGTTTTTGCCAAAATCACAAAACTTCTGGCCAGAGCTCCCACTCCATCTCCCACACCAGCTGGCTGATCTTGAACAAGTCTAGCAAAGCCAACATGCTTCTTGAGGACCGCACCACCTGTCCACATTTCTGAGTGGAGAAACATGATGTGCCCTATCTGAAGTGGGTTTTTAAGTATGCATAGGAGTTCACCTAGTGAACAAGGGGTGGGATGGACAGTATTGGCTGAGTGACACCAGTGAAGACACAGAAATGTGAAACAGTTCTCTGTGGCAAGAGTACTACAAGTGCAGTTTTCCTTGAGTCCAGAACTTGCACAAAGAAGGCATGCAAGTATCACACAAAATAATATAAAGGAGAGAGCATGGCAAACTGTAGAGTGCTACACAAAATGAGACATTGCTGTTACCACCCATCCCTCTCATTTGTTGTGGGACCCCAGTGAGTCAAGATGTGTGAAGATGTATTGTAAACTGGGAAAGTGTTTACCAAAATGTTAATATATTTAGAGAGTAGGTAGATTAAGTGTGAGAATGTAGAGATGGAGTAGACAATTAAAATATCCGCTAATTCCTCCCTCGAATTCACATTTTAGGAAATGTTTATACACTGAGAATTCTAATTACTTTCCCCCTCACACCTCTTTTCAGATGAATACACTATAAGGGAGTTACAGTATCTATTAAATATATTGTCCATTTCCCAGTGTATCAGTTGGGACTCTTCATATAGCAAGTAACAGAACACCCACGGCAAACTGGCTTAACCAGTAAAGGGAATGGGCAGTTCAGGTGATTCTTAAGTCCAAAGGGAGCATGAACCTCAAGATAGGTTTGATCCAGGGTATGTTACTCTGATGCTTCCCCCTGGGGAGGTGCCATCAGCTCCTAGGTGTCTTTCTCCAAGTCCTGGTTGAGAGAGGGGCTTCCCTTAGCCAACCATACAACAAAATGCCTGAGCTTCACTTCTGATTGCACCAACGTGGGTCATGGACAGGGAATGCCAGGGCCTGTTTGTTGTAGGTTTGGATCAAGCGCCCATTCCTAAAACAATCATTGGGGTACTGGAGAAGGTAGACAGGGTGCCCACCATACCTGGTCACTGAAGTGGACCACTGGGCTTCAGGTGTGCAGACCTGGAGTTGTGTTCGGTTTCTGCCCTCACTGCTGCTTTGTCGTTGAAACTTTCTTTTCCCTGTAGCTCCCCCTTTGCAGACAGGATACTGGTCCAGGCCTCTTCACGTCACCCAGGCTCAAACCACCATGGTTGCTTTAAATATTTTAGCTCCTTACTTAAGCCCTCGTCTCTGTGCTCACCAATGCATTTTTCTCAATAGTTGCTTAAAAGCTCAGCATATTTGATCATAGCAAAGAAACACACATTACAGCTGATGTGATACGATGGAAAACATGATTACAAAATTCAGCTATAGGATAATGCTCATTTGCTAAAGACACAGTTTTCCCTAGAAAACAAACATAATAACCTTAATGCAAAACAATTAATTATGGCTAATAAAAGAGTATAGAAAGAAGTCAGAAACACGATAATAAAAATGAGAAAAAAGCTCTTTTCTATAACAACAATAGTTTAAAAATACTGTAGCAGGTTAACAGGAGCAGAAGGTTTTTACTTTTTTTTTTTCAACTTAATGAGGAAGCTCACTTGGGGACAGTTGGTTTCTGGAAACCATGTTGGTTTCTAGACATGTAGATACACATTAGAGCCCTCCCCCGCCTCCTTTTTAAAGAGAATCAACAGGATGGGTCCTTTATAGAAGTAAGGCAAATACCACCTGTTTTTCTACAAAGATGCCTGGAAGAATTCTAAGTGCAGGAAAGCAAACTGAAATGGCAAACATTCTGTTTTGTAATGACTGCCTTTCAAGCAGATTTTGCTATGGATGTAACCTGGTTTTATTGCCTGGAGTAGGAGCAGAGGAGAACAGGGATTTTCAGATGGCGGGGGTGCAGGGGAGAAAAAAGGAGTGGGGGGAAGGGGAGCTAGAAGGAACATTGAGACGGTGAGGTGACAAGAAGCCCCCAGGACTGTCTGGAACACATGAGCACCTATCTAGGTTCTCAAGATGCCCAAGTATAATTCTCAAAATATTAAAAACATCATTCTTATGCAATATGGAGTGAGCACAATAAAAAATATTATTTAACTCAATGAGAGAATCTTTGAACAACGTAGTTCCAAGGAGGATATGAGAAACTCATATGAAAAACAATGATGGGATGGGATTACTAAATTAGATACAAATTTGTGAATATCCTATAGGGTAATAAAACCACAACCTTGGAGTTATTTACTGTTACTGGATGGAAATGATTTGCACCTTATCAGTTTTCTAAAAGTGAATGTTCTAACTTTACAGAGCGTGGGCCCTAATCAATAGTAATTAAAATGTCAAACAAAGCTGTGTGCCTGAGAGGCAGCTGATTCTAGACGGGCTTGCTGGCCAGTTCCGGGGACGGGGAGAGGACTCACAGCATCTTTTTGCCTATTTCCAAATTTGGAATAGGACTAGGGGAAAGGAACCTCAGAGAGGAACATGTTTGTACAGTTCGAGTTTCTGGGGCTCAGAGTCATTACAGATGGACCCTGAAAAGGAATATGGGCTGAACTTGGGTCCCAACAAGGTCAAGTGGGGCATATAAAAGCAGTCAGGTGGTGCCAGTGGCTGGTGAGCTCCATGTGGGGGTGGGAAGATGGTCTGTACCCACCCCTGTGCCATGCTTGGAAATACCTCTTGTTGGACTCATAGTCACACCAAAACCTTTTTATTATCTGGAGTTTTTTTCTACTTTTTAAAACAAATTAATTGTAAAAATGGTGGTAAAATATACATCACATGAAAACTACCATTTCAATAATTTTAAGGTGTATAGGTCAGTGGCATTAAGCGCATTCACATTGGCATCGAGCCAGCACCACCCTCCATCTCCAGGGTTTTATCAGCATCCCAAACTGAAACTCTGCACCCATCAAACACCAACCTCCATGCCCCTTCCCCCCAGCCCTGGCAACTGCCGTTCTACTCTGTCTTTCTGAATTTGACTATTTTAGGTACCTTACATAAGTGGAATCTTACAGTATTTGTCCTTTGTGACTGGCTCATTTCATGTAGCAAAATATCTTCAAGGTTTATCAATGTTGCAGCATATGTCAGGATTTCCTTCCCTTTTAGGGCTGAATAATATTCCATTGTGTGGATCTACCACCTCTCATTATTCTTTCAGTCATTGATGGACACTTTTCTACCTTTTGACTGTTGTGAACAATGCTACTGTGAACACTGATGTACAAATATTGGTTTAAATCACTGCTTTCAGTTCTCTTGGATATATACATAGCAGTGGAATTGCTGAATCATATGGTAATCCTGCTTGATTTCCTTAGGACCCAGTATACTGCTCTCCATAGCAGCTGCACCAATTTACATTCCCACCAGCAGAGCACAAGGGTTCTAATTTCTCCTCATCCTTGCCCACACTTGTTATTTTGTTGTTTTAAGTAACAGCCACCCTAATGGATGTGAAGTGAAAACCTTTAGTTTTAAAATAATTGCTGAGGGCCATTATTAGAAGAAAGTCTGTTTAAGAATCTCTCCCTGTCTCTCTTGGCTAGGAATCCCTTTGATTGATGCAGTTGAAGTGGTGTTCATCATACTGCCAGGCCCCGTCCTAGAAGAAAAGAGGAAGCCGACCACCTCTGTTGTTTCTTCTTGCCACATGGTGTTGCTGTTGAAGTCTAGTCCCGCACAGTCTGATGGACACTTTTTTGCCCTTTGCAGCACTGACAGCTCTGTTCAGGTCTCTCCATGGGTGTCAGTACACCTTCTAGAGGAAACACTGTGCCTTGGCTAAGATTACAGTTCCTCAATTAAATTAGACAGATATTTACTAAGTGCCTACTATATGCCAGACATTGATGTAGGCCTGGAAAAATATCAGATCAAAATAGGCAATGCTCCCTTGCCTTTCTGGGCCTAGACAACAATGTCCACAAATAATTACAAAGCATGCTAAAAGGTGTTAAGCCCAATGGGGGAATGAAAGAGTAAAAATGGGTGAGGGGGTTGGGAGTGTGTGGTGGCTGTGGGTGAGGGTTGGGTCATCGGGAGGACATTGAATAAAGTCTTGAAAGAGGTGAGCTGACCTGGAGGAATGGCTCCAGGTAGATGGCCAGCCCTAAGGCAGGGGTATGTGGGATGTGTCTGAGGTCAGAGTGAGTGAGGGGATGGGCAGCAGGGGAGGAGCATGGCCTTGGACACCATCCTAAGGACTTTGGCTTTTGCTCCAATGAGAGGGGGATCCACTGCAGGGTTCTGAGCAGACAAGTGACGTCTAACTTGCATGTAGTTTTTTCACATTTAAGTATTCTTTTATTACTTTTTGGGGGGAAACGTGAAGATTTATGTTTTAGCACAGTTTTAGGTTCACAGCAAAAGGGAGAGGAAGGTACGAGATTTCCATATTCCCTCTGCCTCCACACATGCAAGGCCTCCCCCATGACCAGAGTGGTATGTTTGTTACAGCTGATGAATCCGCATCCCTGTTGCCCAGAGTCCACGGTTTGCATTAGGGCTCTCGGTGTTGCACATCCTTTGGGTCTATACACATGTATAATGGCATGTATCTGTCATTAGAGTATCAGAGCATTTTCATGGCCCTAAACATCCTTTGTGTTCCCTGACTTACATTTTAAAAGACTCACTTTGGCTTATGCAGTGAGAATAAGCTGAAGGATGGGGGCAGGGACATGAGCAGAGAGGCTGTTGCATTAATCCTGGGTCGCAGGCATCATGGCTTACAAACCATCACAGCCCGGAGCCTGGCCCCCTCTCTGGCCTCCTCAGCGAACCCCCTGCCCTGCCCCAGTCATCCTCTGCTTCCGCATTGAAGAGGACCCCGGTGATGGGGGCCTACTGTGTGCGGGCATGGCTTTAGGTGTTCCTGTCGATCATCTCATTGAACCTTCAGAGACACTCACAAGGAAGGGATCATTCCAGGGACATCTCAAAGTCTGTGCTATGAGCTGGATTGCATCCCCTGCCCCCCTGCCCCCCATCTGTATGCTGAAGCTCTACCCTGCAATGTGGTGGGATTGGAGATGGGCCTTTGGGACGTGAGAAGGTTTAGATGAGGACATGAAGGTAGGGCCCCAGGATGGGCTAAGTGCCCTTAAAGAAGAAACATCAGAAGTCTTGCTTCCTTTTGCTTCCCCTCTCTTTCCTTCCTGCCCACCCCATGTGTGTGAACCAAGGGAAGATGTGTGAGCACCGGGGAGGAGGCTGTGCCTGCAAGCTGGGAAGCAGACTCTTGCCGGGAACTGACTCTGCCGGCACCTTGATCTTGGACTTGCCAGCCTCCAGGACAGTGAGGAATGTCTGTTGTTTAAACCACCCAGTTTGTGCTACTTTCTTACAGCAGCCTGAGCTGACTAAGACAGCCCATTTTACAGACGGGGAAACTGAAACTCTGAGGTTCAGGTAACCAGGCCCCTCGCTGGCAGTGGTGGAACATGAGGCAGGGCTGTGATGGGGGCTGGAGAGCCAGAGAGGACGGGGCTTGGGGGAGTCCTGCCTCAGGGAGGGAGGTCCGGCACTGGAGAGCCGGAGAGGGACCAGGCCGAGTCTCACTGTGGTCGGGCCGGGTGTGTTCCTTCCCTGAGGGCCACCCCTCTCTGCTCGGTTTCCCAGGGGCCTGGCTCCAGCTTCCCCAGGGGTGGAGGGGGTCTGCCGGGAGTCCCACTCAGGTCCTTCCTTGCGGCTTCCCAGCCTTGCGGGTGGCTTATGCTGTCCAGGCTGGTGCTCCTGGAGGTGGCAGGTGGTGGGTGTAAAATAGGGAGTGCAAGGTACTCAGGGTGCAATCAGGACTCCCTGGCGCCTGTTGGCGGCTCACTGTCAGAGGAGGTGGTGAAGAGGGCAGAGTGCTAATGACAGTAATTGCTCTAATTATTTTTTTGGTTTGGAGAATCATAAAATGCAGCAGCTTGCTCAGTGCTTATGGCAGTCATCAGGAGGGGCTGGGGCTGCGCCTGGACAGCAGTTCTTAACCAGGGGGAAGCATCAGCCTGCAAGACACTAAGAGAAAGAGCGATGGTCCCCCTTTCCCTTTCCTCCTGCCTCCCCCTCCCTGCCCTCTGCTGCTCTGGCCTTTTACCCCCTCGTCCTCTCCCCCACCTCCCGCCCCTCCTCCCTCTCCTGCCCCCTTCCAAGGGAGGCCTCTTCGATGGTGACACTGACACGGTGAGTGACTGTGGGGGGGAGGGGTGGTGGCCATGGCTGGTTGCTGGTCTGGGGGGAGCAGCTGTTCAGGGGCAAACAAGCTGAGGAGCTTTCAGCACAGGCAGAGGTCTGTGCTCTGGGCACATTCCTGTGGAGCTCCTCAAGGGCTGGGTAGCTTCAGACAGTCTGCTTTGGACGGAGCACCTTGACCCTTACAGGTGAGCCAGGGGAGAGAACAGGGCTGCATCCTTGAGCAAAGCTGGAGGAGCTTCAGGGAATGGAAACCGGGCCACCTCCCTGCTTCCCTTACCCCTAGCCAGCCCAGCACCACGTGCTCAGCCAACGTTTCCTGAGCACCTGCTATGTGCCAGGCTGGAGATTCCATGGGGAATCAGGCTCCCGGTGAGGTGGGAAGCTGGACATGTAAGAAGTAATGACCATCCAGAGGGGTGTCAGGAAGCAGCACTCAGACTGAAGATGCCAACTCTTGGAAAGTCAGGGAAGGCTTTGGAAGTCAACTGAAGGTTGCAGGGCCATCAAGGGGGCCCTTTGAGAGGAAGCAGTATTTTCTGGGTCTTGCAAGGTGAGTAGTAGTTTCCTGGACAGGAGGGAAGGGGGGATTCCTGGCTGAGGAGAGGGGCAGGTGGGGCATACAGCCAGAGGAATCACTGGGCTAACTGTGGCCTGAAGGCCACACCATGGGATCTGGGCTTGGCCTAGCCTCTGAGACCCCGTATGCATGGGGCTTGAGAAAGGGTTGCAGTCAGGAAACTTTTTGAAAACGGGTAATAAGTAAAAACACGTAGGTAAAGTACAAAGTGAGTACTCAGTGGGTGACAGCAATGCTGGTACTGGCCGAGATGACTGTGCTCAGCTAGGTACGTGTCCCAGGGACACCCAGCAGCACACAGGTGCCTAGAGGTACAGGTAACATGCAGACATGTGAGCTCCAATTACACAAAGCCCAGAGACACAAATGCACAGTTACCTGCAACCACCCCCCACCCCCAGACACATACAGACAGTCACACACTCAGATGCACTCTGACAAAGAGCCCCTTGGACACACTCATCACCTTGGGACACACCCATCCCACTGGAGCCAAAGATGTGCTTCACCTCTGAGGGGCCTCAGTGAGCTTAGGGGCCGCCTCAGCAACTCAGCCTTGTCACTTTGCTCCCCCAGACTGCAGGAGGCCGGGCTGGGCTGCGTCAGGGAGAGCACCCTCTGCGGGTCACCCACTGGCCCCTCAGCTCCGCCAGAACATGACCCCTGGCGCTGCAGCTGGAGGGCCTGAGGCCAGCTGCCAGAAGAATGAGCCCATGGAGAAGCCAGCCTTCTGCAGTCAAGGGACCGCTTACCATCCCAGGCAACAAGAGCGGCCACTTTGTCCTTGTGTCCTGTAGCCAGCACAAGCCCAGCACACAGTAGCTGTACACCATGTCTGGATAGAAGGATGGGAGGGAGGGAGGGAGGATCAGAGGCAGGGGCTGGTCCAGAGGGTCTCAGGATGGGAAGTCCTGTCCTGTGGCTGTACCCCTTCCCTGCCGGCTCCTGCCACCACCCGTGGAGCCTCAAGGTCTCCCAATGCTCAGCTGCCTCCCTGTCCAATTGCATTTTCTTGCCAGACAAACGAGGGGCTGGATCTGCCCTTGTTCCCACTGACAGGCAGGCTGTCAGCTACAGTGGCATCTGTTCTCGTCAGAAAGGTGAAGAGGGAAGGGAAATCAGCCACAGCCCTCCAACAGGCGGCTGGGGAGAGAATCTGGCTCTGGGAAGGCCCTCCCAGCACCCACAGGAGATGCCCAGGGGACAGCCCAGGCCAGAGTGGACCTGGGTGCCCCACCAATGCTCTCTTGCATGAAGAGGGAAGTATGAACTGTGCAGCCTCTGGAGATGCATTGTGGGCTAAACCCTAGCTCCGGGCTGACCAGCTGTGTGTTTGGGCAAGTCACTGAACCTCTCGGTGCCTTAGTTTTCCCATCTATAAAATGAGGATAATAATGTTGTTGTGAGGGTTACATAAATTAATATTTGTAAGCACTTGGAACAGAGCATATACTTGGCACTTCGTAAGTATTTTGTTGTGTTGGTACTATTATTATTGTCTTCCTTATTCTAGGGATTGCTCCTCTGGATGACAGAAGGGCTCAGCCCACCAGTGTGGCGGAGTCAGAGGGAGAGTGCCCTATGGACTGGGCAGGTTGGGGAAGGCCTCATTCATTCTACAGAACTTTATTGACCCCAGGCCACTGGTTCCTGCCGTTGGGGACCCCGATCTGGTTGGAGGAGGCAGACGTATAAACAGAATTATTATTATAAGAGGCAGGCATGTGATGTTCAGGAAAAAAAAGAGGAAGCAACTAATGGGTGGGGTGTGGGGAGTGGTGGAGTGAAGAGGTCAGGGAAGGCTTCATAGAGGAGGTGGCATGAACAGGATGCAGAAGAATGAGTAAGAGTTTTGTAGGCAGCTTCCTGGTGGGCGCCTTCCAGGGAGACTGGACAGCAGGAGCCAGTTTATATGGGGCCTGGGCTTTATCCTAGGGAGAATTAGGGCTGTAGGGTAGACAAGGACACTGTTGGCTTGAAGAAGGGGGCTCAGGAAGCTGTTGGAGGATAGAATGGGCATCTAAGTGTCTGGAGGTGCTTCCTCCATTGATCCCCATATTCATGTCTGTAGCTCCAGTTACAATGACCAGGCCAGGTCACTGGCATTACTGGTTACTGTTGAGTAGATGAGCAAAGGGAAGGACCTTTGTGGTCACCCAGGTTGGAGATAGCTGAGACCAGAGAGCTGGCTGGGCCTTAGGAAGGTGCAGAGCTG